CCACGCTGAAGTCTTGATAGGATACTTTGCACGATGAATCACAGCCCTTGCTGATGATGTTGAAGAGCCCTGCGATCCCTAGAAGGAAAGGAGGACCATTACTACAAGAACTCAGTGCAAGCCAAGCCAAGCCAAGCCAAGCCAAGCCAAGCCAAACCTCATGGAAATTAATAATGAGATGCTAGTCGTATCTAAGCTCACTTCTTGGTTAAAAACAAAAAGGTGTTTCCAAACAACTCTATGTTTTACTGTAGCAGGCTGTATTTTTGAGGTGTCTGTCAGCAGGGGAGGAAAGGTTTCAATCCCCAAGTGTTTGCTTAAGGCAGTGTATTCCACAGCACAATGCTCAGGGTTTTCTAGAACAGCACCAACTACAGAAATCCTAATAATGTAATTAATAATGAAAGATAGCCATTAACACCTCTTTTGGGTAGTCTAAGCTATTATTAATGGACGAGTAGCAAGCATGCGGGGTAATCTTTGCTTGTATCCCATACATTTTTGTTGCACGGAGCCTTTCAACGCCCAGGGGAGTTATGGAAACACAACTATCTCCATTTCATAGATGACAGAGTTATTGTTTGATTTGTTTCTGAGAGGTACAACCTATTTTTCTGTGACTGGTTGATGCTCAGTAACTGCTGATTACCAGCAAATTACAGTCTGCAGGAGATCTGATCTTGCACAATTTATTCTGGGCAACAAATCTTTGACATATGTAAATTTAGTTTACAATTCTAGTGGGTTATACAAGGTGTTGACTCCTCTCCATGGCCATGGGTTTGTACATTTCCAACAAGGACACTGTCTACTGGAGGTATTACATTTACTGACTGACAGAGCTGAGTTTGAATAGGCCACTGATGGGTTTTGTACTCCAGATCTAAGAGCAACTGAGATATTACCACAGATCTGGACAAGGTAAACTTATTTTTTGCCAGATCTAGAATGGGAGAATTAAATAAGGAGTTTACCCAGAAACACACAAATGGTTGCATTCAGAGCTGGCTGTAGATTGGCCTAGGTAAAATTCTATCCTTTTCATTGAATTCACTTAAAGTCAGCTCTGTCATTGAATGCTTCTCCTAACTTCATGGCTAGGTTTCACCAGGCTCAACACTTCATGTTTTAATCCATGTTCTAAACTTTCCAAAGCCATAAATTTAACTATTTCCCCTGTAAGCAAATCACTTTTGGTGTTATGAAAAAGAAATAAACCTAATTTTGTACAAGTGAGAGACATTGGTAGGTGTTTGCAACGTCAGGTGCTTAACAGCTAGTGTCCTGTTGAGCAGCTGCCCCCTCCTGAGGTTGGTTCCAGTCACTGGCACTACACTGGTCATAGTGATCAATTTTTAGCATGATCTATTGGCAAACACTAAGGAATTTATGGGGTACAGCATGCATGTACTAATATGACTTTGTAAGCACTCTTTTGTGGCCAGTGTAAGGAGAGGACTTGGTGGTGGTCAGCACCATTACCAAAGGACCAGTCATCATCAAGGGATAAATATTTTTCTGTCATTTCTACTTAACATGAAAGTCATCCAAAAGCTTTATCATCACCTTTTCTCCCCAGATGGCTTTTCTCTTTTTTCTACACACTGAGCTTTCCTAGCCCACACCAGTTGGTATATCTAGAGTAGGTGGGACTGGCTTGAACACCTGAATCTGGGACCATGCTTGGCTCCAACACCACAACTAAGGCATTGCCCATCCCCACTTTGCCTTACTGATCACTTCTGTCTTGCAATTTTCCTCATCCTTGCACTCCTCTTCCTTCTTACAGTTGGAGTTGCTGAGCTGTGACGTGCAGCTGTAACACTTCAAAGAAGAACCTGCAAGAGACCAAAAGGGGTTAAAAGACAAATCCATCTGAACCTTTCTACGGAACCCAACTTAGTGCTTTCACTGGGAAACAGGAATATCCTTGTGGGTCCTGAAAGAAAGGTAGCACCTCTGTTATTGGGAAAACAATGTTTTTTCAATTTTTGATGGAGAATAGTGTACTTGCTTGGGGTGATGGTCAAGTTTTGCTGGTGGTGAAGCTGTTTCAGATCTAGTCAGTGAAGTGAGGCTGCAAAAAGAGGCCAGCTGGATAGCTGATCCCATCAAATGGTTTCATCAGTCAATGAGAAGAGCTTCCCTAATGCTTCTTCCTCTGCATTTGGGATGTCTAAATCAGTTCCTGTCTGGAACAGGCTTTTTGTGAGACTCTCACCTCCTGAGCTAGGATGAAGGGATGAAGTTCTCAGAAGGAGAGGTCAATACTAATTATCTGCCTCTTTAGACATTAGTGTTTTACCAGGTGGGCTTATGAGCCTTAGCTGAGGCATTGCCAGGGTTGGACGAAAGAAGAAAAACCCAAAGGGAAGAAGGGGTAAAGGAGGGATGGAGCAGGCAATTTGCAAGGTCTCTTCTAGCTCCTTCCCTCAGTTTGACCAACTTTTGACACATCCTCTCCACCACCTCCTCTTAGAAAACAAAGTGCAGACACAGCTTTTGTCTGCTTTTGAAAAACAGGTCACGAAGTGGTTCACCCTCTCATGGACATGCCAGTCTATGAGGGACACAAGTCAGTCTTGTTAACATCTGCTGTGCTGTTACATGCATCAAGCAAAGGCAGAATAAGCATTGCAGCTTACAAGTGTCTAGTCCTGATGAAAAATAGTCCCCAGAGGAGTGAGAGCATGGTGCAATTACCTGTTCATATTACCTACCCATGCCCCAGGGCACCAGTAGAGCCTCAAAGACTTGTAAAAGTGTGAGTTAATGTATATATTTGTACTTTAACTCCATGACCACCAGGCTTGTATCATGACTCCCTCAAGTCAATACCCTAATGCCTAAAATACTCTTTTAGGACATAGAAAAGCTGTCTTTAGAAACTAGTGTTATTCAGCACAGAAGCAAGAAGAGATTTGAAGCACTTGGTCTCCCTCTGTACAAGCTGTTCTGTTATAAGTGATGGATGCAGTCATAGAGGCAAGGAGCCAAACTCCAGTTTGTTTATAGTGCTGCACCCTGCTCTCACATTTATCTGACTTTTAATGCAATGAAAGTAAAATTTCAGAGCACCCTGATGAAATCTGGCAGAGGAGAGGATCTGGCCAGGACTGTATGAGACTATTCTCTGACTATTCCTTAAGCATCCTCTGCTGATTGAGAAACATTTCTGCCCAAATCTGCTTTTTCTGTTCTCTGGTAATAGGGAAAAGCTGGTTCAAAACCACTTTTTCCCAATGAGGCCAGAAAAATCTGACCATGTCCTAATACCACCCATCCAGTTTATTAAATAACATGCCTTGGCATTCTCCCTTTTTCTGTCCTATTAAAATTTTGACAATCTGTGCAGCATCACAGGCTATTTTTGAAATGAAGAGTCAGCAAATAAGTTGGAACAAAACTTACCTTTGCATAGATGTTGCATTTTTGATAGCCTGGGAAGAAGAAAAATAACTGTTCCACTCAACACACACACACACACACACACACATAACTGTAGTCTGGCTTAAATAACTTTGATTTCAATTAAATTCAGTTTTGTATAGGATTTATCTTTTCTTGGGAGCTGCTCTACCCAGCATTAGGATCACACCATCAGCAGGGTGGGACTATGCATTTTTTCCATACAACACCCAGGACATCCCATGAAAAACCAAACGTCTTCATAGGACAACTGCATCAGCATTCCTTCCCTTACTGCCAGACCCCAAAACAAGTCTTTTATCTTAGCTGAACAGCTGCTGGAGGGGACGTGGGGTAGACTCTCCACACTGTCTTACCTGAGTCCAAGCACAGGACTGCTCCCAGCAGGAGGACAAGGAAAGCCTTCATTTTGGGATTGCCTCTCTTGTGCTGAATATGGGTTGTTTCCTCTTGGGGCAGTTTATATACAATGGGAGGCAACAATTGGGCATGCCCAGAAGATTACCCCATGAAGGCACCTGAGTGAGGTTGCTCGCTGGACCAAGGGAGGGGTTGGTTTATGGTGGCGATATTTGCGTTAGGTGCCTCCTATCTGACTGCGACTCTCGAAGCTACCAGCAGCTCCTTTCCACCCCTCTGCCCCCGCCTTTCCTCCTACCCTTGGGCAAAATGTTCATAAGTGGAAAAAAACCCAAATTCTTTAGAACAAGGCTGGCCTTATGCATTTCCCCAGAGCCAGCGAGGCTGCGGTTGCACCCCGTGAATGAGGCTCTCCACCCCCATTGCTATCCTGAGTGCAACTATTGTGTTTAGATCAAGGACAAAATGTTCTTTTAATAAACATTTCCAGCTATTTATCTACATGTGTGAGTGTCTCTGTGACACTCATGGCATGTGGTAGCAAGGTATGTGGGCAAATTACAGTTCATTGACCTCTTCCAGTTGTCCAGGTACTCATTTGCCCTTATTTCTATGTATTGTCTGTAGTCTAGTAAAAGACAATGGCCAATTCAATTTTTTTTAATGTGTTTTGAAACCAAAGGGACTTTGTGATGGCTTTGTTTTGTATTGTTTTTATCTGCCACATCTGCACTGTGGCATTCTTCTCTTTGTCTACTAGTCTCTTTGTCTGGTAGAGGTTGGGTACGGTTTTGAGACTTGAACTCTGTGCTGGTTTTGGCTGGGATGGATAGTTAATATTTTTCATTGTTGCTAGTATGGGATTATTATTTTGATTTGTGCTGAAGACAGTGTTAATAATGCAGATATGTTTTCATTATTGCCGAGAAGTGTTTACACAGAGTCAAGACCTTTGCTGCTCCTCACACTACTCCACTAGTGAGGAGGCTGGGGTTGCACAACAAGTTGGGAAGGGACAGAGCTGGAACAACTGACCCCAAGTGACCAAAGGGATATTCCATACCATATGATATATTATACCATCCATTCCATACTGTATATAAAGCTGAGGGAAGAAGAGGGAAAAGGAGGATGTTTGGAGTGATGACGTTTGTCTTCCCAAGTAACTATCATGTGTGATGGAGCTCTGCTTTCCTGGAGATGGTTGACCACCCACCTGTCAATGGGCAGTGGTGAATGAATTCCTTATTTTGTTTTGCTCGTGCACGTGGCTTTAATTTTACCTAACAACAAGTTGGGAAGGGACAGAGCTGGAACAACTGACCCCAAGTGACCAAAGGGATATTCCATACCATATGCTATATTATACCATCCATTCCATACTCTGTGCTCAGTATACAAAGCTGAGGGAAGAAGAGGGAAAAGGGGGATGTTTGGAGTGGTGACGTTTGTCTTCCCAAGTAACTATCATGTGTGATGGAGCCCTGCTTTCCTGGAGATGGTTGACCACCTGGCTGCCAGTGGGCAGTGGTGAATGAGTTCCTTATTTTGTTTTGCTTGTGCATGTGGCTTTTACTTTACCTATTAAACTGCCTTTATCTCAACCCATGAGTTTTCTCACTTCTACTCTTCTGATTCCTCCATCCCACTGAGGGGGAGTGAACGAGCATCTGCGTGGTGCTTAGTTGCTGGCTGGGGTTAAACAAACTCACATCAGTATGTGCTGTAAACACTTCAGGGTTATCAAAGAAATGCCACTTCTCATCACAGATGAGGGTGAGTTCAACCACATTCCAAACTGAATGTTTGCTTTGGTGGGTTGATTGGAGACCTCTCCCACCTCTCACTTCCTTTGACCACTTGACATAGAAAAAAACAGGTCATTCTGCTAAATTCAGTTTGCATAGTTTCTCATTTTATTTAGGGTTATTCTTAAATCTCAGGAACTTAGTGCTTTGCAGTAATAGCCTGCTGGGTCTTCCTCTTGTGCAGTTTAGCTCTTAGGACATCAGGCACTTTTTCAAATTGAAAGGAAGGTGTGCTGGCATGCTGGTGAATATTGCTCTTGACCAGTGGCTGTGGGATGAGCGATAGAAGGTCAGCTGGACTAAGTCTGCTGAAGTTAATGACACTGCTCTGATTTACACCAGTGGAGAATCTGGTGTAGGGGATGATTTTGCAAATCCTGTTTCCTCTGTGGGGATCTTAAGTGCTTCTTCTTGGACTCTTGAACTCCTGTTAAAAAAAACCAAACCAAAACAAAAAATAACCCAACATCTTTCTGTGTCTACTGACTTTTGCTTCATCATCTGTTTTTCAGACCATCTCGTTTATAGCCAGCTTTTATGGAAGAGCTGGATTAAAAAAGTGTCAATATGTTCTGGAGTTTGCTATTCAAAGATATTTAAGGCTATTTTTCTTTAATCCATTAGGATTGTCCCTATAGGGTTTGGTTCCTTGTGTTGGGGAAGAATAGGGCCAAAGGAAAGCACAACCTGGTCCTCCCATCAAATCCACTCAGGCCTTGAATTAAATATTCCTTCCTTCAAGCAACTAATTGATAATCATGAGGGAGTGCTCTTTTCATCCTCAGCAGTTTAACTTGCTACCTCTCTTAGTACTATTCTTTCTTTTTATTCTTTTTATAACAGCATCAGAGTTGCCAGCAAAGATCAGGACTCATGGTGCCGTGAGAGAGATGCACACAGCTAAGAGGTTGTCCATGCCCCAGTCCTGCTTGGATCGCAGCCCAAGGCTATGTGAGAATCATAGAATCATAGAATGGTTTGGATTGGAAGGGACTTTAAAGATCATCCAGTTCCAACCCCCCTGCCATCAGCAGGGACACCTTCCACTAGACCAGGTTGCTCAAAGCCTCATCCAGCCTGGCCTTAAACACTTCCAGGGAGGAGGCATCCACAACTTCCTTGGGCAACCTGTTCCAGTGTCTGACCAGCCTCACAGTGAAGAACTTCTTCCTAATATCTAATCTAAACCTCCCCTCTTTCAGTTTAAACCCATTTCCCCTTGTTCTGTCATTAACTGCCCTTATGAAAAGTCCTTCCCCAGCTTTCTTGTAGGCCCCCTTCAGGTACTGGGAGGCCGCTATAAGGTCTCCCCAGAGCCTTCTCTTCTCCAGGCTGAACAGCCCCAACTCTCTCAGCCTGTCTTCATAGGAGAGCTGCTCCAGCCCTCGGATCATCCTCGTGGCCCTTCTCTGGACTTGTTCTAACTGGTCCATTAAGAACCCAGTAATTCCTGTATCTTTACATCAGTTCTTGCTTTTCACTGGTGGTTTTTTGTTTTTTGGGTTTTAGGTTTTTTTTTTTGGAACATTTGTGTGCAGTTCCTGCTCAACTCCTGAAGATGGCAAACGTGCCCTATTATAATTACTTTCTATACATTAACAAGCAGTTGTCCGTAGGATTGTGTATGGATGATATTTTTTATTTTCCCCATGTTATGAAACCTCCAATTCATCTTGTTGTATGAAAAAGATAATCTTTTACCACTGAGAATCTGAAGATGTCTGCAAATCACTTGGGCTTTATTTATTTATTTATCTATTTATTTATTTATTTATTAATACTAATTTATGTTGTCACTGCAGATTCTTGATAGATGCAGGTCTAGAGCTTTCTGTTGAGGAGGGAGGGAAAGGGAACTTGATTATTTGATGTATACTGGTTGACCTGCCTGGTATCAGGCTGAGAACATGTAGTGGAGCATAATACAGATCATGATGTCACGGATCACACTGAGGGGCTGAATAACAGCAGTGGGCATGAGTTGGAAATTTGAGGACAAGAAAGGTAATAGATGAAACCTTGCCTGTGGCCAGCAGGTTGAGAGAGGTGGTTTTTCCCCTCTATTCCACTGTGGTGAGACCCCACCTGCAATACTGTGTCAAGTTCTGGCATCCTCAGCACAACAAAGACATAGACCTGTTGGAACGGGTCCAGAGGAGGCCACAAAAATGATCAGAGGGATGAAACACCTCTCCTATGAGGACAGACTGAGAGAGTTGGGGTTATTCAGCCTGGAGAAGAGAAGGCTCCGGGGAGACGTTCTAGTGGTCTCTCAATACTTAAAGGGGACTTCTAAGAAAGATGGGGACAAACTTTTGAATAGGGTCTGTAGTGATAGGACAAGGGGTGATGGTTTTAAACTAAATCAGGAGAGATTCAGACTAGGTATAAGGAAGAACTTTTTTACAACGAGGGTGGTGAAACACTGGAACAGGCTGCCCAGAGAGGTGGTAGATGTTCCACCACTGGGAACATTCAAGGTCAGGTTGGATGGGGCTCTGAGCAACCTGATCTAGTTGAAGATGTCTCTGCTCACTGCACAGGGGTTGGACTAGATGACCTTTAAAGGTCCCTTCCAACCCAAACTCTTCTGTGTATCTATGATTTTAAATCAGGACAGATGTACCAAGCATATCTGAAGGCAAAAGAGAGTTGCTCTGATATCCTAGGCTGTTGCAGCCATTTATCTGGGTGGTCTGAAGAAACTTCAGGGAAGCCTGCAAGATGACAGAGATAATGTATTAAAACTTGAGTTGCAGACCGTGTTTTTCATGGGGATGTCTTTTAAGTGCAGAAGGAGAAAAAAAAAAAGACAAAACCCAGCAAAGAGGAAACTACAGATGAAGCTCCCTGCACTCATTAAGCACCTGAATAAAGAGCAGCCCTTGAAAGAGCTGGATCATCAGCTCTGGGATCCTGCAGAGTCTCCAGCCTCTGAACTTAGAAGTGTAACACCTTCTTGGATGCCTTAATTCAAGCCTAAATTAAGTGCAAGAACAAGAGGAGCTGCTGTCCAAGGCTGCCTGACCCTGAAGAGAGGTCACTGTGTTGCTTGCTCAGCATGAGCATGGCTGGCAGCTTCTTTTCAAGATGTTCTAAAACCCATGTGTGGAGGTTGCAATGGGCTACAGAGGTAATCTTATTGACTTTTCCACTCGTGGAAGGTGTTTGGTACATGTGTAGTGAAGGAGCTGGTGCTGTCTGCAAATGTACTCAGTCTGTAGGGATATGGGATGTGTG